AAGGCTCAAAATTATTTGGTGCCCACCCATTCTCCATGATGTTCTCCATTCCTACATTCAGTTGACCTGATATAAGCGTTCATCTCTCGAGAAGAGTTTGTAATAATTGAGGAACCACAGTGGTTTCTTGGACACGACAGTCACTAACTTCTGATTTTGGTGTCTGATCAGACAACCTTGTTCTTTGATGAGGATTTTCGTTGGTAATCCTTTTCTCGCCTTTTAGGCTTTTCAATTTCTTCTTGCTTTCCCTAATTTTTGCCTGGACAAATTCTTTTGAATTTCGATTTGGAAGTCCAGCGGGATGCCCCAATTTTTTTTGCCTAAGCGACTTGTTTTCAAGTTTTGACTTAGCGGGGATTTTTGTTTCTTTCTTATTCATATTTTTCATTTTGAACAAGTCGTTGATCTTTGCGTTGTCTTGATTTGTTGGAAGTGATCGTGACTGCCTGAGTCTTTAGCAAATGATGGATAGCCATTGTTTTATCGTCATCTGTCGACCTCCTGATGTGCGAGGGATACTCATTGGGGTATCGTTAGTTGATGCACGTTGCTGATAGATGAAGGTTAACCTTTATGGTTTTGAATTTCCTCAACGTTTTGATGGATAACCATTGTTGTATCCTTGGATGCACACTCTTGATGAGTTCTGAATTCTTGATCAGATTAGCTGAACACTACCCGCCCCAAGGTTTAAATGAGGGTTTTTTCTGAATAGAAAAGAAACTCCTACTTCGAAGGCTCAGAGGGGTTAACGAGGGTCTATCTCCCTTATATCTCCGGTGTTTGGGGATTGAAACAAGGCTTGTACGTCGTCAGCAGGGTCTTACCCAAAAGCATACCAACCAGAGATTCTTACGTTTTTAGATTATCATCATCCTCCTTTGAATCTTTACCTAAGCATAAGACTAGGAAATTTGGAATCAATATGCAAGTAAAATATTTAAAGAGTGATAACGAATGGATGAGTAAAAATGAAAGGAATACTTCAAGACAAGTATACTTATTGCATTAAGATTTTCGTTCAAAAATAGACAAGTTTCTATATACAAGCAATGTTTAAACAAACAAGCAAGAATGCAAGTGAAAATGCAGTAAAAGAAACCAATGATCGCCATTATTGAGAAGACTTGACTCCGTATGAACTTGCTGATTTTGACGACTTTCTGTAGCCTTGAAGCTCGAGTGTGCGAGAGAATCCCCTTTCAGATTTGATGTGAACACAACAGTCTCTGAATTGATCCAGTCTTGGACTTGGTCTCTGGATGACATACCTTCTTCAATCGATTGGCCAGGTGCCCCAGTATAATATGCATCACCAAGCATATCATGTATTAAAGAAATAATAGACATCACCATCAGAGTTTCCATGACCTGGCTTATCTGAGTATTTGATCCATTATCTTCCTGCTTGAAGAAATTTTTGACTACGAGCCAAAGCTTGCATGTAACTGGTCTCTGAGCATGTGCGGAGAGAAATCAGGTTGAACCTTTGAATAGAACCCCAAGTCTGAATAAGAATCCCCAATCTTCGGGTACCTGCTATGAATGCATGAATATGCATGGGGTGTATGAATGAATGCCATGTCATGTTCTGTCATTTCCAAGGAATTTGCGTGTTTTGATTTTGATTTTGCGCAAGTAAGGGATGGAAGAGTTTAGCACAAGACTTGCAAATGTGATTCCTTGAAAATAACAGAACATGTATGTTAAGCATGTGGTTAGCCATGTTATGTATGCAAAGGCATGAGATCAAAGAGGATTAAGGTTCCATCATTCCTGAATATGATTGCTGCACTGTTCTGAACCATATGAGTATCATCAGAGCAAAGGTCCGACATAGCTTCTGCACATATAAGAAACAAGTACCATGTGGACCTCCCATTGTACGGGGTCAAGGCTTCTGGAACATCAGATACTGTTGAGCATTTTCTGAACAATGCTGGGAATACCAAAATTGAAGGCTTGCATGACCCTCCAGGTAAACAAGTCAGGATCTCAGAAAATAAATCTGAGAACCATACAGTCACCAACAAGATATAGCATTTGTATCAAGTCATAACAGAAATCCAGTACATAGCCCTAATAGTCATTGCCTGAGCATAGTTACCATCTGAACACGAGTAACCATCTGCATATAGTCACCATCTGTACCTGTGATAGAAATTCCCTCCCCACTCACGGGTGAAAACTAGGTCAGGGTAAGACAATGGTAACTCAAAAATCACGGGTCCGCCTGAAAGTGCTATGGGCTTACCCACAGACGTGGGTGCCGATAGTAATTTATTTGAACCTCGTCCGAGCATGGTATATGACATGACTGCACTAATCGGACCACGTCCTATAGCCGTCATTCCCCCACTCTATTCCTAGGTGTCCTAGTGCACTCTGGCCTGGGTACTGGGCCTTTTACCTCAATAGTGACATCCCCACCCAACATAGAGAACAGAGTCCAGCATAATAGATAACAAATATGGAAAGCCATAAAATGCAATGCAAACTTATGCTCAGATAAACATGTACAAATGAATAAACTGAAAGCATAAAAATAAACACCCTAAGGAAAGAAAACAAGAGCTAGGAGCGACTCTGGGATGGACCAGCATTTGGTCGACCTGTCCCCAGTGAAGTCGCCAGCTGAAACAACCGGATGAAAATCATCAAACAATGAAGTCGCCATCGAACGTCTTTTATCCCACATGTAGGGAAAGGTAAACATCGAGAAAACCTGAGAAGGGAGAAGTCACGGTCTTGCGACCAAGAGATCAGGTAAGGGAGTCTGTTACGCGAGGGGAAGTTATTAGCACCCCACACGCCCGTAGTACTCTACGGTATCCACTCTTGTTGTCTATCTTATGGGTGTGTTTAATCTATGCTTACTGTTTACTATACTACTGGAGGGAAAATGTATGCAAAAGAAAGGGGGGAAAATGTAGGGAAAAATAAAATTGTGCTCGCTTGGGCCCTACCCCAATGCCAACGTATCCGTTTTGAGGAATCAGAGCTACCGTAGTTCGGCTCATATGTTTTTGTTTGTTTGTGTTTTTTATGGACGAAGTTAATTCCGCCTTCTTCCGCAGCTCGACCTTTGGAGACTTATGCGTTGGCACAGAAGTAAATTAATCATGTCCTTACCTAAAAAGGTTTTTTAAAGAAAAGTGCTCGAGCGCACAAAATATTTGAATTGGTTTATATTTTTGTTATAGATGTTTTTGTGGACGAAGTTAATTCCGCCTTCTGCCGCAGCTCGACCTCTGGAGACTTATGCGTTGGCACAGAAGTAAACTAATCGTGTCCTTACCTGAAAAGGGTTTTTTAAATGAAAGGTGCTCGAGCGCATAAAATGGTTTGAATTTGTTTTGTATTTTCGTTGTAGATAATGACTAGTCGATCTCAAGAGAGAGATATTAGCCATTTTTCTACTTAACTATGAAAGTAGTCTTTGAGAATTGAACCACGCCTATGCTTGAGATGAAGAACAATAAGATCGAGAAGAGACCCGCTTATCGTTTCCCGTACTAAGCAAAAAGCATGATTCTCATCAGTAGTTTTAAAGTGTTTTGAATTTTGAAAGAAAGAGAAAGTTTTAGTTTTAGATGCGTATGCAAAAAGGGAAGAAGAGTTAAAGGGGAATTAGCCTATTTCTAAACCTGATGCTACCGTGCATTGTTAGCCCTAAAGTTAGAATGAATGAGGGAATTCTACCTAATGTTAGCACGCATATGGTTTGCGATAAAGTACTGAAATAAAGAATAAAATAGAGTTGTGACGATACTGAACGGAGAAGGTCCGTTGCCTCTTCAAAATTGTGCAAGCGGTAAGAAAATTCTATCAAAGTTTCCTTGGGCGAGTGATTGAAGAATTAACCCCGAGCATTCCACATTGCAAGAGTTATATCGATGCTATCACAAAAATCTTGACTAAAAATGACAATAAAATGATTACCAAATATGAAAAATAAAATAGAAAAAATTCTAATCGAAATTCTAAAAAGAAATTCTAAAGAAATCTAAAATATTCTATTGTTTTGTATCATTTTATTATCAATTGCGAGAGAAAATTAAACTAGAAGAAAAACTAAAAAAAAGAAAAATTAGAAGAATCAGGGGGTACGAGCTGAATTCAAGGAGTGTGGCTTAGTAAGGGCGCTAGGCCCAAGTAGTGAGTCCACAAGTAATTCTTTTGCAAATAAAAGACCACCAGAAAAAAAGTAATGGGCCTAGTCAGGGAGCAAATCGGCCCAGCCTCAAATGCACCGACAATCCAGTCCAATTTTGTTTACTTATTGAATTCAGTTTTTTTATTTTTTTATTTTTATGCTATCAAAAAATAATGAAAGAAATTAAAACTAATAAAATTAAAAAAACATGAAAATTGAAAAGGGAATAGGGTTAGGGAGACTGAGTTGCTTTCTTCTTCTTCGCGGTGCATACCTTCCCTTCTCTCCTTCATCCAATGTCGCCGCCACAAGCCAAGACCGACCCTCCTCTCTCGCGGCGACGGAAACCTCTTCACCTTCATCGCCGCTTCAATCGGCCTTCGTCTCAATACTGATTCGTCATACTTCAACGCGACTACATTGCAGCTTCATCGTTGCGAGAGACCGTTCAACGAACTTTAGATCTTGGATTTCATTCACACAAACAAACTTCACATACCGCCAGCTAGATCAAGGGAGAGAATATCGGAAACAGTGGAAGAGTGATTTACCTATCAGAGACCTTCTGACAATGGCGCTAATAATAGGACCGGAAACAAACTCAAGTACGTATAACTCTGCTTGTTTGTCTACTCTTTTCTCTTATTTCTTTTGAATCTTTATCGCACTAATGATGTTGAGGAAGATGATGAAACATGATGAATCAAATTAGGTAAGAATGTATTTCTGTTTTCTGCTCTTCATCTCTTCTTATCTGATTTTGTCCTCGATTCTGTGATGTATTTCTGTGTGGTTAATTGAGGTAATTGTTACTGCGGATTTGATGTTGATATGGTTGTAGATGCATGATGCTGATGTTGTTGCGAAAGGCTTTCCTAAAGTGACGAAGAACTGTGGCCTTCTTGATGAGGGTTGATAATGATGATTGAAGCCCGATGCAGAGAAAAGATCGTGGAGATTAAAGGTTTGCGAGATGATGATTGAGGTTGCAGCAAATTGTTGCGGTTGGATGAAGATGTAAAAAGGAATGGTGGATTGAGGAACGATGCGGAGAAAAAGGTGAGATGAACTTTTTTCTTGAGATTTTTCTATCACTTTTCTGGGTTGTTGAATCGTATCCCCCTATTCTGTCAATCTCCTTTTGTATATGCTGTGAACTCTATTATATATTTTCTGTAGAGTTTGTTAGGAAAATTGGTTAGGGGTTTGTTTAGATTGTTTAGTTGGTTAGGGATGAGTTAGTTGTTATAACAGTTTGTTATCGAATGTTAGTTATGTTGTAACTGTTTTGGGTTGGTTAAGTTAGTTACAGGGCTGTTTCTATTTTCTGGTTATGGAATTGGTTTTGGTTGTTTGACAGTTGGGAATGAGTTAGAAAAGTTGGCTGTTAGAGTTTTATGTACAGGGCTGCTTTAGAAAATGGTTTAGGGAATGTTTAAAATTCTGTTAGAAGCGGTTAGGAAGTTTGTTAGGTTATTGGGAAAAATGGAAAGTTGGAATTGGTTATGGAATCTTTTTGGTTGTTTGGATGGTTTTGATTTAATGGTTGTTTTTGTATTGATTTACGCAGGTAGGCTGATTTATGCAGGTAGGCAGGAGGTACAACAAGGTAGCGTATTTGTGGTGGCATAAGTGTACTGTTTTAGGGTAAATCAAATCGGACAGCAGGAAAACGAGGCATAACAGCATAGGCAAGTTTGGTTATGTTTGGGTGCAGTCCCCGTAGCATGGTTCGTATTTTTGTGAATGGAAAACCTTACATGATTTTATATTGTTTGCTTTGTGTAGGTCAATATGTGAAGGCGTAGCATGATATTTGAATGCAAGGCAGTTGACGAAGCAAGGAGTTTAGACACAAAGGCTAGTGAAGATGAAAGCAAAGCTTTGGCCATGGAGTTGATGAAGGTGAAAGCGAAAACATGGTTGAAGCTTAAAGTTAGGTGAAGATTGTAACATAGAAACTTTGGCCATACGGAGTGGAGCATGAATATTAGATAAAGGTTGAATATGGAATCACTAGGCTTAGGATGAGTGTTAAGGTTTAGGAATGGTTATTTCATATTATTTTTTGATGTAAAGGACATGTAACAGAGAAATATTTAGTTGTAATTGTCTTTATGGAATGAACACGGTTTGAATATCATTGACGAATCTTGTTTAAATTGGTTTGATGCTTGAGTGAGATCAAATAGACGGTGATATATTCGAACACAGCATGATAACGCTTGGGTGAATTGAACTTGAATTTTTATGAATGATTTGGATCCTGAATGAGTTCGAAATTGATGATGAAAGGTATAGAATTCTTGGAATATGGACTTGAAAAATGCTTTGCAATTTGAATTTTACACTTTACTTGTTGCTTGTATTTCAAGCAAACCACATGACTGAACCTTCCAAATTTAGCATGAGCCAAATCCAAACTTATGTCCTTGAATAGGTTGAATTCATGGAATCACTTGAATGAATGAATTAACACATCCGAATTCCATGCATAAGAACCTTAATCCTTTTGAGATGTACCTTGGTGACTGAATGATACTGAGATATTGATAAGAAACCAAGTTTTAACTCAAAATATCTTTATCTGAATCCTTGATGAAACCCTAGCATTCATAATCTTAATGCACTTAGTTCTTGAAGTAACTTCGATACAAACGACTGTATCCCCTGATGAACTTGGGGGAAGATACCCTTATAGCCTGATAAGAAATAAGTCCACAACAACCACGAATCAAAATCCTATCCCCAACCATGAATATTGAAGAAGCAACTTGAATATCTTGAATGAAGATAAGAGCCTCAAAGCCATACAGGAACCCTAATTTTCAAGACCCTTGATCACGTGCCAAAAATGTTGTTAGCGAATGTATGCAATGTTAAATGACCTAATGGAGTTATGTACACGAGAAAAGTGTGACAATGCATAAACCAGATAAAAGTAGAAGGGTAGGACAAATTTGGGGTATTACACTAGCCTAGGCAAAAATAAGGGCTTCCCGGCGAACCAAAAGGGTTCGGGCAAAAGTAAGGGATGAAAATGAAAAAAACTGTACACCCGGCAAGTCGAAAACCTGAAAAGGCGGCTTGGGCAAAAAAGGGTATCCCGGTGAATTGAAAACCCGAAAGGGCGATCTAGGAAAAAATTAGGGATCAAAGCGTAACACTATGTCTCATTGGATCATCTTGCGACCAAACTTCGGTATTGACTATCAAGCTCGGACGGTGCCAATCAATCTGATCTACCTTCGACCAAGTAGCAAAGTGATGAGACGCTCGAAGATATAAAGGCAATAGCAGAGTTGGAACCCAATGGGATTGTTTCACATAGTTGTTTTTCTTTCTTTTACGCAAATTATATAATTTCTATCTTTCGGCGGTGTTCTCTTACTATGACGTCAGCCTCTTGTACAAAATGCCTATTACAGGCCAACTTTAAAATCAATACAATTCATTTTCACAAGTAATTTCAACTTGTTTTTCCTTTTTCTGTTTTATTTCTCCAAGTCAGCAGATCGTCCAATAGAGTATTTCTATTCCCCACAAAGTTATTCCCCCACATGATTATTCTCAAACAGAGTCTCTCCCGGCGGGATGTTCTAAAGAAGAACGGACGCAAGTCTCCGGCTAATCATCTTCGGTCACTATCTCCAGCAAGAACGAAGAACTCAATTCCTTGTACTCTCCAGCAGCAGTCCAAGATTTATTTTCCCCAGCTAGAGAGTATCACAAGAACATTGCATATCCATACATCGTAGCATGCGCATACGCATCATACAACACAATCTCATTTATTTTGAGAACATCATTACTCGATACATTTCATACATCATGACATTACATACGAGTAACCATTTACCTTTCAGGGAAAGATGCAATCAAGTTCTGTCAAGTATTATCTGGTTCAGTCAAATCGATACTAAGATTTCTATTCCAGTTCAAGCTATGAAGCCCGGATTCGACCGGATAATATCTTGATTTCTCCAAAAATACTATAAAGCCTGGAATCGACCAGATAATGGTATATCTTAAATTCAAGCTATGAAGCTTGGATTCGACCAGATAATATCTTGATTTCTCCAAAATACCATGAAGCCTGGAATCAACCAGATAGTGGTATATCATAAGTTCAAGCTATGAAGCCCAGGAATCGACTGGATAATATCTTGATCTTTCCAAAATACTACGAAGCATGGAATCGACTAGATAGTGGTATGTCATAAATACAAGCTATGAAGCCCGAAAACCGACCGGAAAACAGCTTAACCCTCAACAAGTTATTGTGAAGCCTGGAGATCGACCAAATAGCAATACAAGATACCATGAAGCCTGGAATCGACCAGATAATAGTATAAGACGCTGTAAAGCCTGGGGCACGACCAGATAGCAACAAAGGACACTGAAGCCTGGGACACGACCAGATAATAATATAAGGTACTGCGAAGCTTGGAATTCGAGACCGTACCTCAGCAAGGACGTCAACCGGGGCAACTCCCTTCTCCTTGGTCTATGGCATGGAGGCAGTCTTGCCAATTGAAGTCCAGATACCCTCTCTCCGGATAATGAAGGATGCAGACTTGAATGAAGATGACTGGATCCAGACTCGACTTGATCAATTAAATCTGATTGACGAAAAGAGGCTCACTGCTATCTGTCATGGTCAAACGTATCAGAAACAGATGATCAGGGCATTTAACAAGAAAGTCAGACCGCAAGAGTATCAAGTTGGGGACCTGGTAATCAAACGCATCATCCTTCCTCAAAGTGATCCACGGGGCAAATGGACCCCTACATACGAAGGGCCATTTGTGGTTAAACGCGTGTTCTCAGGGGGAGCCATGATCCTGACCACCATGGATGGTGACGACCTCCCTCACCCCGCCAATGCAGACATAGTGAAAAAATACTACGCATAAATAAAAGACCCGCTAGGTTGACATACCTAGGCAAAAATAAGGGCTTCCCGGCGAACCAAAAGGGTTCGGGCAAAAATAAGGGATGAAATGAATAAAAATTTGTACACCCGGCAAGTCGAAAACCTGAAAAGGCGGCTTGGGCAAAAATGGGTATCCCGGTGGACTGAAAACCCGAAAGGGCGGTCCAGGAAAAAGTTAGGGATAAAAGCGTAACACTATGTCTCATTGGATCACTTCGCATCCGGAATTCGGCATCAACTATCTGGCTCCAGATTTCGGCATTGACCAATCAGCTTCATCTTCAACTTAGGCAGCAAAGCGATGAGACATTCGAAGACATAAAGGCGATAGCAGAGTTGGAACCCAGTGGGATTGTTCACATAGCTGTTTTGTTTCCTTTTTCAAAATTGTAAACTCTATATTATTTGGCGGCGTCCTCTTACTAGGATGACGGCCTCTTGTACAAAAACGCCTATTCACAGGCAAAGCTTAAATCAATACAAATTCACTTGTCCATACAAATTACCATTGTTTTCTTTTTTCTGTTTTGTCTTGCGAAGAACGTCCAATGTTCATTTTTGATATATGCATTTGACATTAAATTGCTGATTCGTAAATGTTTACACATAAAATAAGAGATTGATTACAGGTGACATCAGAGACAGGGGCAATGTGAAGTTGTCTAATGCAGTCTGGTTGTTTTGACCGCCAAGGTACCAAGGTAGATTCAGCTGAAGAATGTGGCCAAATCATCTCAACTCCCCGCAGAGTAAAACAAGATTCAGCAATACTTTCCCCAAGTGGAATTGACTCCCCGACAACCTTGAAAAGGCACAATATTCCCCGGCAGGTCTTAAAGCTCATCCCCAGTAGATTCTGGAAGCTTATTCCCTACAGAATACAGACGTCTCTCCCGAGCTTTATTTAGAGTTATTTCCTCACAAGGACTTATAACTGGGTTATCCTTAGCTAAAAACCACGGAAGACCGCCCTCGGCAAAGTTCCTTCAAATCCCCAGCGGAGTTTATCATCATTATCCTCAGCGGAATCCATCATTAAAGTCCTCAGCAGGCCTCTTATCAGAACTTCGGCCAAGTATCTCTTCCACAGAGCAACTCCCTGGCCGTTCGTCAAGGATTTATTTTCCTAAGATGAAATTACATTCATAAACATTTCATGTTTTCATACATCTTGCTTACATACATGATAAAGTGCATACAACACTATCTCATGTTGAACATCATGACATCGTGCATATCATACATCATGACATTGCATACAACTTATGTTTTTGCCTTTTCAGGAAAAAGACAATCCCAAAAACAACTACCTTCAACTGTCACAATTCCAGATTCGATACCTGTATCTAGCCAGGGCACATCTGAGAGTGATCCATTTCCAGACTCGATACCTGTATCTAGCCAGGGCACGTCTGAAGAGTCCAAAGATTCGATTCCTGTATCCAGCCAGGGCACATCTATCAACTACAACATTTCCAGATTCGATTCCTGTATCCAGCCAGGGCATATTTGTTGACCACGTTTCCAGACTCAATTCCTGTATCTAGCCAGGGCACGTTTGAAGAGTTCGAAGATTCGATTCCTGTATCCGGCCAGGGCACATCTATTAACGACTATTTCCAGATTCGATTCCTGTATCCAGCCAGGGCACATCTGTGAGCAACCAATTGTAGATTCGATACCTGTATCTAGCCAGGGCATATCTGCATAAGGAGACCGAAGATCAAACACCTGTAACAAGCCAGGAAAACATCTGTCCTTCTCAAATACACAAGTTCTCGCTAAGGAATCTCTTATGCGATCGACACTTCCAAATGGCATCTATAAGCCCATTCTCGACAAAGTGCTGTCACATCTCCAGGTGGCATCTATAAGACCATCTCCCTATCCACCACCTCTCCAAATGGCATCTATAAACCCATTCCTGACATCACACTATTAAGACTCCAGTATGCGAGTGCAAATTTCCGGGCACTCTAGTGTCCAATCTTCTTTTACCCTCGAGTCA